TGCTTCTTCTAAATCACTGCCAGAATTACTAAATTAAAAGCAGCAAATCTCATTTTGTTTAAAACTACCACCCATTACAGTCCAAACTCCTTAGCATAGCATAGGTCTCCCTCCACTAGATTCCAAAGGTCTCTAAGTACATTAATAATTGCTACTAGTTAACATGTATTGAACTCTTGCTATGTGTAAGAAATGGTTCTGCAAACTATCTGTTAATACTCATAATAACCCTATGAGGTAGGTACCGCCAATTGGCCACTTTCTAGGTAAAGAATCTGAGGCACAGAGAGGTTAAACAACTTGTTCAACTTCACACAGCTAGTACGTCACAAAGTCAGGATCAAAATCCAGTCTATCTGACTTTAGACCATTCAATCTTTACTGAAATCTCTTTGTATACAAGGCAAGGTCTATATTTTTTCACCTTTCTATCCCCATAGCAATTAGCATGGGGGTTGGCAGGGGTTAAATATCCAGAATATGATCACTACTGTTTTGCAAATGGGACATGCTAAAATCAGAGCTTCAGCAGTGACAACTGGTATTAAGAGTCACCTCATGCTTGGTCTAGCATACTATTCATTACTAACTTCCACGTATCTGGGAAAGGCATAGTTTTTGCTGACATAAGAAAAAGATATCTCCAAGAAATCGTTACAGCAGGAAATGTAGTGAGTGAGACAGCTGAAGTACACATGCAATACTAGCTGAAGTAATTAGATTAGGACTACTGGTTTCAGATGTATCTGATCCAAGGTCATCCCTATCCTACCCACATGTCAAAAACTGTAATGCTAAATGGCCAAATCTGATTTACAGGAATTTTACATGGTCAGCATAGCTGGAAAGGAAAAGAAAGGTGTTCAACAAGAGCATGCAGTGTTTCCAAAACAGTCAACAGAAGGTAACAGTATTAGAATTTATTGAGAAAGGTATAGGAAAAAAGCACTAATACATACCTATATCCTCTCAAATTAAGAAAGCAGAGCCAATGAAGAATATTGTGAAGAAAGCACTGGCAATGGGTATTGCCAGTAAAACCAAATTAAACACAAATGAAAAATAAGATCTAGCTGAAAACAGGCACGCATTTGGTTACTTATTCGATATACCATTATTTCATGTGCTTCCTCAATGCTCTGTTTCTTCTCTCAAAGTTTGTACAGTACTTTGATGTGCAATCAAAACATTAAACTCAATGCTATGATCACTTATGCTTCTATCAGCTTTCCTAAATGGAAGGTAAAAAGGAAAGCACACAAAAAAGGCTATAATCAGTCTTTAATCTTCATTCATTCATTTAACTCTAAGTTATTGAGTATAATGGGTACTAGGAACCTGTACTGGTTCTAGAGATATAATAGTGAGATCCTGCCTTTTCTTACAGAGAGTTTATCAAATAATCATACAAGGCTACCTGACTTGGGAGTCGGGGGCTGGCAGAGGGTTTTAATACAGTTTGTGGGATCAGGAAATAAACTTAGAACATTGAGCTGAAGTATGAGTAGCTTTTAACTACACAAAAGTTGAGAGTAGATGTCAAGTGTTCCACATAGAAAAATAGGAAAGAAAGGCAAACTAAAACCATAAGGGGGCAAATGCAAATTTTTGCAGATTCTTTACTTAATATTCTAAGTATACTTAGAATATACAGTTGTCTAAGTAAACCTGGACTCCTTAAAAAGAAGTATATGCTAGAAATGTATGCTTCACTATGAGGTAAAGGTTTTTCCCTCAAAAAATTAATTCTCACTTTATATTCAAGTCCTGACAAAATATCCCCTATTACTAGTATCTTTCTCAATTATTTGATTTTGAATGACAAAGCAGTGTTTGAGAAAGATACATTACCTTGAGCCAACTTCAATTAATGCTAGCTTTAAATATTTATAGAGGCTATTTGACTTGATAGATTTTTTTAAAAGAGGCAGAAGTTAATATAAATTTGATAATTATTATTGGAAGTATAAATTCACAATTTTCATGTATTGCTTGTCTCAAATAAAACTTTTAAAGATCACTTAAGCAATCCAGTATTTTGAGAATACTGTAAATATCAGGAATGATACAAATGCTGGTCAACTGTCAAATTATAAAAACTGTCCTATAATTACAGAAACAAATAGTTAAGGCTTAGAATAAATTTTCAGTAAGAAAAATCACAGAATCCAAAATCTTTCTTAAAAAAAAACAAGGTGTGGGCTGGCCCCGTGGTTCACTCGGGAGAGTGCGGCGCTGGTAGTGCCAAGGCCGCAGGTTCGGATCCTACATAGGGATGGCCGGTGCGCTCACTGGCTGAGCATGGTGCAGACAATGCCCTGCTAAGGGTTGCGATCCCCTTACTGCTCAAAAAAAAAAAAAAAA